GGGAGAAATTAAACTTTTTTGAAGTTTTCAAACAACTCAGAATTTCAAAGTATGGGATCTCCAAGTTATGCATGTTGGGAAATCCCAACCTTCTCCTGGTTCTTTCCCCTTTCTTATTACCTCTCCCTTCACCTCTTCATTTTTTACTATTATTTTTTTATCTTCACGGCCCAAAATTTACCATCTTTTTCCCAAGTCGAAAAAGCAGGGGGGAGGCTTCCCCTACTCCTCCCCCATTGCGACGGCCCTGCATTTCACTGCAATTTCAGGAATGTGCTTTCTAAAATGACATGGCAGAAAACAAAAAATTAAACAACATATGGTTTTTCAGATTATTTATTTTTATATGTGCGTAAAATGAATGTTTTTAATGGCACATGAGAGAGTGTAAATTTTTGGCCGAGACTGCAGGTCTCTGATATAAATTCCATTAACCATAGGTCACTTTTAGTATTGGATAGATTGCAAAAGTAAAGGATGTATTATTACTGTTTTGTATTTTAAGATTCCTGATGAATAAATTGTCTATTCATTTGTGATATTCGAAAGCCCACTGCAACTTACCCCTGAACACTGCACAAGCGATCTTAGAGTGCCGGAACCAATTTTGGGTATAAAATATAAAGTAAAATAGTGCTCGTTTCACAATTTCTTATTTATTCAAAAATTTGTTTTATTACAGCTTTTTAGAACAGCTAAATAGAGCTGTTGAACTATAAGTATTTTAAAATTTCAATTATCTCTAATAGGTACTCCTAACTATAATTGATAGATCCAATTATAAAAAAAGAATGTAGAGCAATAATTGAAGTAGACCCAAATCGTAAATATTACAATCCAAATGTGTTTTGAAACACCGTTTCTGACCTTGATCCGGGCAAATTCCAAACTTTTTGTAATTTTATTTTCAATACTTGGAAGAGGAAAAAGGTTGGTTAAGTGCTTTAGCCCTGTTTCGACGGTTGATTTTCATCGCACAGAAAAATGTCTTCAAATAAAAATAGAGGACGAAATGTATGAATCTATTTTTCAAAGAAATTCCATGATTTAATAATTATATACGAGGTTTGTTAAAAAAATAAGGTGAATGTTCAAATTTCGCAGGGTACGCACATTCGATTAGCGATTTTTCTATGTGGTACACTGGTCTCGAACATTTGTTTATAGTTCCAGCACAGTAGAAAGCTAACGACCGTTTCAGATGTTGAGTGTGGGGGAGAGACACAAAAAAGGAAAAAGTGTTAAAAGTGCAGCGATTTTCTGCTATCGAAAAAAATGGATTAAAGAATTTGCATCAAATTTAATGATAAAAATGGAATTGAGTGCTCAAAAACAGTTGATTTGCCACAATGGCATACAGTGATTGTACTCTGAGAAAGAAAAATGTTAAGTTATACAAGCTTTTCACAAAAGGCCAAGAACATGTGAATGACGATATATCTTTGAAGTCCACTTTGAAGGGAACAAAATAGAAATTATTGAATAAATAAATATTTGTGTGAAAGTTATTTTCCGGGTTTATTTGTGTGCAGGTTTTTATGCTTGACGTATCATCTACTACTGCGGTAGATATTATCAAAGGCGATGTGGTAACGGTCGCAGTGCTAGAGTTGCTATTTTCATCATTTCAACTGCATTAACTGCAATGTTTATATTTGACTCTGAATTTATATTATTATTAGTGGGCGTGACTTGGTTTCTCTTACTTGGATTATCTGACCTTGTTTGTGTACCTGTAAGGACAGGTGGCCAGATTTTATTGATGTTCATTGCCTCTTCCTTTCTATTGAAATTATCTCCAATTTTGAATTTCTATTTCCTCTCTATTCTTGGATAGTAATTTTGAGTTTTATCAAGTATTACTGTATCTTTGAATACGGTAATGTAAGTGCCTTCTTTGTTGAGAGCATGCTCGACTACAGCCGATTTGTAAACAATTTATCTTGTGTTCAGAGAGACGAAGAGTAATTATCGAAAAAAATGAAAATAACTCATTTTTTCAACAGATCTCGTATGTTACCATTTTTTGTAACAAGTGAGTTAACAGAAGAGTATGAAAAAATTAAAGTAATATTACAACAATCTTACAGACTGGATACTAATCAGTACTTTAGATTATGGAAAAAATTTCTAGTTATTCTCGTAATTTGCGCCCCCTGGCGCTTTTCAAACTAGACCATGGTCTAGGTTAGTTTTATGTGTAATTCTAAACAGGTGATAATAGAATTGAATTCAACTACTTCCGACCCTACATCTGACTAAAGTCCATTATGAACTATTATAGGTGTCTACTATTAGAAATAAAAGACTATTTATAAATTAGTTCAATATATTTTTTCAAATTACCTTTTACCAAATTAATTATTGCAGTATACACAAAAATCACATATTTCATATGTACATATAAATTTAAGCGTTACTTGCATTTTGCAGTTAGGACAGTTCTTAAAAAAAAGTGATATAAAATAATAAAACTATGGACCGAAAGTGTATTTGAGGTTTGAATAATACTAAAACTTAGTAAAATTACATGGATTATCAAAATATCACCATTTCTACAAAATTTTGAGCCAATTCAGGAACAATTTTCACACCCCACATATTACATTTTAAAAACTTGAGCCATTTTCTTTTATTTCATCGGTAAAGAAGCTGAATATTGGTACATAAGTGTACAGCAAGTAGTACCCTCATCTCTCAAATTCAATTCAGTTAAGTTTGCAAAGATAACTGGTGTTTGTATCACATTATGAATTTCTTGCAAAGGATATTTCTTTTTTTTATTAACACCTGTTCAAGATTTCAATTGAGATATTAGTAAAGTTTTTTCAACTTATGATAATAAATATATCTGAGTTAATGGTGAATAGAAGTCAACAGAAATGATATAATTTATCAGAAATATTATTTCATAAAAAATTATCAACAAATAACTTCTTGTTTTATCAACTTATTTCAGAAATTCCTTTAGGTATTATTTGTGTGTATGTATAATAGTTACGCAAAACTTTTATCTAATATTTGAAGGTACTCCTTACCGTTTAAAATTGCTATGGATATTTCAATCCTGAGACATAATAAGTTTACATGTATTTACAAATAATATTTATAAACTAATATCCTAACTAACAAATAAATACAACATATTGACAACAATTCAAAGTTAAATAAATAATTTGAATATTTTTTACAATGAAGGTCTGTTGAAGTGATTTTGTTTTTCAACCTAGTCTGAAGTAATCATGAACTGATGTCCTTCAGAGAAGAAAATTCAAACACATTATAAAATGAAGTTAAAATATGTTAAAACTGTTTCAAAGTGAATCAAATAAAACGAAGGTAGTTAAAACTTGAAGCACAGTTGGAACTGCTTTCCCCATCGCAGATTTTTATAAGATACTAGTTTTCACTCAATGGTCAGAGTTCTTTCAACAAAGCGGATTTTGCGTTTTTCAACTTGTCTAATCTTTTGAGTAAATGTGTATTTGATGTTTCTAGCTCTTCTGCTCTACTGAGGGCATCCCTAGCCTAAAACAGAAAAAATATTCAAAATAGGAGAATAATAGAATTCACAGATACCAAATTCATCTGAGATATTTGAAAATCCTGGATGATTAGTGATACAACCGTCATATTCAATATAAAAAAAATGTACCTAAATTACTTAAAAGGTTCATGTAATCCTGAATTTTGAAGAGAAATACAAAAAAATCTGTTTATAAACAAATTGCAAAGTTCATGTGGGAACACAAATTTCAATTAAAAATTCATACATAAAATGTTCTTATCGGTTATCAATGCATTTCTTTGATTTGAGACATACACAGCTTTAACAAGAATATATTATAATGATATTGTCAACATTGGAGTATGGGGTAGGAAGGTCTAGCTATAAAGTTATTGAGATATTAGTTACTGAAGTTTGGATTGTTACAAATATTTATATCATTCTGAACTTTTATAATTGATATTTTAATATCTATTACATAGCTATTACAATTTTTTTTGCAAAGAATTTGAATGTTGATATGTCTAGAAGATCTTCATTAAAGTTTTGAGAGTATGAAGCAAAAACCAGTGTCGGCATAGCAAATGTAGAATCTAAAGAAATGAAGAATTTCACTAGTTCGGACTTCCATTGTCTACTATATAAAATGATTTGAAATCCCTGAAACAACTAAAAAAGAAGAATTGAAAATGAATAGCTGAAAATAATTATATTAACCAAAATAAACCTGAAATGAAATAATAGTGAAATAAAATACAAGTAAAAATAGAACAATTGAATAAATAAAAATAATGAAAGAAAGGAAATGAGAATAAAAAGTGGAGAGATCCCAAGTCACGTTAGTTCACGACGTTTCGATTGTTAATATCTACAATCGTCTTCGGGTGATGACTGGACTGATTCCTCCGAGAGATGACTATTNTGCATATGCAATTGGCAATACAACTGAAAGAGTCGACCTTCAATTTTGGAACGGGCACACTTGCAGACCGGTTTCGGGCTCATTAGCCACTCATCAGTGCAAGATAGTGGCCATCATCGACCTAAAGTCAATGATATTCCATAATGGAAAATCGGAATTCGAGTATTTCATTCCTCTTCCTAAGTTGGAGCGAAACAACAAAATGTCAGTCCATCTAGTGGACGAGGTACTAACCAACTGCATATCCGCAATTTGCCCGATTCCTCTGATTGAGGAAGAAAAACTTTCTTATTAGTCAGTGGGCTATGCCCACATGGGATGAGTGGCTAATGAGCCCGAAACCGGTCTGCAAGTGTGCCCGTTTCAAAATTGAAGGTCGACTCTTTCAGTTGTATTGCCAATTGCATAGGCAGGAAATTTTCTGTGAAGATTCCTGCATTGACGCCTGTCGAATATAATCCAACGCCCTTCGTGGTATTATCCAGGGGAGTAGTTTTCTGATAGGCGTCAGTCCATTCAACCTACTGTGTAAGTATATTTGAGACTGGCTTGAACGTTTAAAGCTCATTTCTTTAGACTGTTTCTGAATTCACTAAACTTGTTCAATAATTGAAATAACTGGCTGAGGAACTTTTGTTACTAATGAATGAGGTTCAAAACCAGTGTTCCAATGTCAGTACCAGGATTCTAATTAATATCCCTTTTTGAATTATCCAATAAATCAGAAGCCTTTTTATGAAGTTACAACAAATATGTAATGACACAAATGAGTTTGATAAGTTTGGGAAAAATCACAAAAACTAGATGAACACAACATCAAAATGATTATTATTTGTTAAAAATTATTTGAATGAGACAAAAATAATCACTAAAATTATGAATTAGAGGAAAATATTCTATCCACAAGATTTCCAACAAGTAGAAAACGCAAATGAAGGCAATAAGACCATTTTCACTTTTGAAGAGACACATTTGTCAGGTTTGCTAAAGGAAAATAAAATATATTCACTTCAAGATAATTTTATTCATATGAATTGAAGAGAAAATTTTGTAAAAAATACTGAAATTATCTGATAAAATAAGTTTGTTTCAAATTCATCAAAAACACTTTTCCTGAAGGCCTTATTTGTGAAACATTTCTGATCAAAATCAGTTCAGAGATAAATCACAGTTCTAGTATGTGACAAAAGTTGCATATTAGTCTGTAAACAAAAGTCGCATACTAGAACTGTGGTGTTGAATCATGAATGTGATGTGTCCTAGTATAGGAACCCAATATAAAACAACCTTCACCGAGCTGATTAGCGGATTTTATACCAAATTAAATATGTCAATGAATATTTTGCAAATGGGTTGACTAAAAAATTTCAATCCAAAATATTATTATTTAACAATTCAAAAATTATTTTTTGTTGAACATTCCACTGGTTTGGTTAATAGACAAATGCTATACCAATCGAAAGTATAAAGCCTATAGAATATGAAAACGTTAGGCTGACTAACTTTTACCCATCACAACTCTTGGGTAGGAAGGTATAAACAGGTAAATCGATATTAGTAACTTGCACTGGTCTGGTTAATGAATTAAAGACCTACAAATTCAACATCTTATTTGAAGTTTTTTGTTTTACAAAAAGCTAACTTCAATGAAGTTTTCAAAAGTTTCCTTATTAAAATCAATTACAGGATCATCCAATTTACACAAAAAACATTCTTTGGCTATTGACAACAATAAATAGTAGCAAGTATTTTCAATTCCTACTAAAGCAACAAGCTACTCCAAAATTATGCACAGCATTTACGAGTCTATCGCTATCCTTTTCATTTTCACAAACAAATAGCATACACACTCTCTTTAATTCAATAGACGAACTACACATAGCTGCAATGCTGTGTCCCCTCTGTCGCACATATTCACTCGCAGCAATATTTCACTTTTTAAAACTTGACAATCGGAAATCGCAACTGATTTTTTGCATGCAACTATACCACCGTGTTTGTAATGAAATAATCTTTGTTTGAACTTAATTTTAATGCATTAACCAAACCAGTTCAAGTTACTAGTATCAATTTACCTGTTTATACCTGCCTACCCAACAGTTGTGACGGAAAAAAGTTATTCACCCTAACGTTTGCACATTCCATAGGCTTCATACTTTCGATTGGTATGGAATTTACCTATTAACCAAACCAATGAAATGTTTAAAATGATTATTTTTTAATTGGTGAATAATTAAATTTTGGACTGAAATTTTTTAATCAAACCATTCGGAATATATTCATTGACATAATTAATTTGATATAAAATACTATTCATCCATTAAGCAGCTCGGTGAAGGTCGTTCTATACTGGGATCTTATGACTAGCTGGGCTGTAATTTTCAACTAGTTGCTTTGTAGTGAGAGACAGAGGACGAACTGTCGATGTCGAAGCTTGGTTTTGCAACCAACCGTCTTTGGGAGTCTCGTTTATCTTCTCGAGGATTGAGTTCTGTGTCAATCCCATACATGGTATGTTTGTAATGGAAGATGTCACCGCCCTCACGTTTTTTTGTTGAAATCATTCTTTACCTGAGAGTTCCTATTTCAGAATTTTGTTTATTTTTTATATACTTCATTTTCAGAAATATTGCCTTAATTTGAATTTTACATTAGTAAGGGCAAGCGTTAATGCAAAGACTAAACCTGTATTTCATTACAAAAGTTGTCTATGCTCCCACCTAGTGACGAAATGTCAACCTTTCATGTGCTTGTCTCAGAGCCACATTAGAGGCTTCCTTCAGTAACAGCTGTTGACTCATGTTCTTCACCTGATACCACATACAAATCAACACAAACAAAAAAATTATTTTCCCCAACAGAAATGTTGAAAATTGATCACACCATAGAAACTTTACGCAATTGGTTTTGATTTAAAAGTGCCTCAGATAACATTTCCAATATTTCTGCTTGGGGAAATATATAAAGGAATTTTGAAAGACAGGAAAAAGCAAAACCATGATGTTAGTATTTACCAAATATTTCAAATGCTTGCAGATACATCTGTGGATAAATCTGTTAGAGAACCTGAATCCTGCAAATGAAAAAATAAATAAAAAGTGCAAAAATAAGAATTTAGCCACAACAAAAAACTACCAGTCTGCTAAAGCATTGCAACTAACTAATTACTACTCAGGTCACATACGAATACATAAAAATAAACAAACGGTTCAAACCTCTCTTTGCAATTTTCTTTTTTCAGATTTGAGCGCCTCTTCTGACTGTTCTGAAACTTCTGCGGCTGTTTTGTACCTTATCACTTGACTTTCGAGACGTGCTACTGTTGCTTGCAATGTTGCTACATCTTGTTCCGCTTTCTGAGCTCTGAATTTGTAGTCCGCTAACTGTTTACTTGCTTCTCCTGGAGAAAATCATACATATCAGTTCAATCAAATAACTCACTCATGCCTTTATCGTGTAAAATTTTCCAAACAATAATATTCGTTTGAATTATTTTTTTGCTTTAAGTTATACATCCTTTATACTACAATAGAGAAGTATTTTTATAAGAATAACTTCATACATGAGAGTCTTGGCCGAGAGCTTGCGCATTGACAGAGTGATGAAATTGATTATGTGATATGATATGCTCTATCTTGTTTATTGCTATTACTATTGAGTAATCTTGTTGTTTGATAATCTCTATTTTATAAGCACACCAAAATTGATGAAGTACATTTCAATATCAACAAATTTATCAAAAAACTCTCTGACAAAAAATCATTGTAACTTTAACCCTCATATTAGACAGATGTTTTTTTTTTTCGTTTATTTTTCTCTTTGACAATTTACATTGTATAGGAATAGACAGTCTTAGTATAGATCACAAACCAACATAGATCTCAAAAGAAGTAAACTAACAGTAACAACACAACTTAAAGTTAATAACAATAACAGCACACAACAATGTGGCCTTGTCTGAACCCTATTCATGCAAGTAACATACCTTATATCTTATTCTATTATTGGTTTATGAAAAACTCATCCAATGAATAGTATGCTTTCCCTAATAATAGTTATAATAATGAGTTTTAATAACATGAGTTATAATAACATGAGTTATAATTGCTACCAGTAGGAAGTGAGTTGAATATTTTAGGCTCCAGAATATATGGCAAACACTTAGTAACCTCAAGTCTGGCAAATGGCACATGTAGTTCATTTTTTTGTCTTGTGTTCACTTTGTGATGAGAAAAGTTGGTTGTGAATTCGTTCCGATGTTTATAGACATATAGAGACATTTCAAAAATATATAAGGAGTAGACTGTCAGAATCTGATAATCCTTGAACAATGATCTGTACGAGAATGTTGAAGGTTTGCTAGCCATGCGGCGTAGTATTCGTTTTTGTGAAATAAAGATTTTTGGAGAAACAGGGTTGAGTTACCAAAAAGAAATACCATATGCTAGTCAAGATTCCATTTGGGAATGATAGTACATGATAAGTACATGATAAAATTGTATAGAGCTGGTCTGGCGTGAAACTATAAACCACCCAGTTGGTCAGCAGCAAGGGTAGTATATTGGTACGACCAATCAGCTTTACATCCTTCCTGTTGAAGGGACTTGAGAGGATACTAAATGGACACACCAGGAAGGTGGCTTGATACGCATGCCCCCCCCCACCCCGAATAATCCCCAGTATGCATATCAAACCGGCAAATCGACATATTTAGCATTAAACACGACATGCCAAACCAATGATCACTTATGGAGCAATTGCCTGGTGGCGAAAGGCTTTGCAGAAAACACCTCAGGCGAAGCTCTCTGACTTACAGAGACAGGCTTGTCTGGCCATCAGTGGTGCCATCAGTACCGTCAGCGGCCAAAGAGATCCTTCTAGATCTACCTCCTCTCCACATTTTTCTGAAGAGAGAGGTTAGATGGATTGCATATAGACTTGTGCGTATTGCCAATTGCACAAATCAATTGAAGCAGAGTGCAACAGACTGATCCTGAGTAAAGAGGACTGGATCCTCCGGGAGAAGGAAATATTAAGAGCAGATAGTTGTTGGTTCACAGATGGATCAAAAACACCTTCAGGTTCTGGTGCAGGAGTTTTCAGTCGCAGACCCAGGTAAGAGATATCAACTTGCCCAGGAACCTATGAGAAATTTATGCTATTGAATTGTGTGCGGAGAGATTGGAAGAATCCAACCTCATACACACTGGCATTGAAAATATTCTCGGACAGTCAAGAGACTTCGGAAGCTCCTTGACTCCTACGGAGCAATGACTAAATTGGTAGCAAATTGACAAAAACGACTCTCTTCAATAGAAAGATTTAACAAATTGTATCTGTTCTGGATTCCTGGCCATACTGGCCTGGAAGGCAATGAGGCTGCTGACTCCCTTGCAAAAGAAGGTGCTGCAAGTGGCTTCATCGGACCAGAACCTATCACTGGCATCGCTTTAGGCTTTGCCAAACAAATATTGAACACCTGGATGGAAGGAAGATTTATGGACTTCTGACAAAACCTTTCAGAAACAGCTCATTCCAAGGCGTTCATTCTCCCTTCGAAGCTTGAAACCAAAGATTTGTTGGAGTTGGAAGTAGGGATGATCTACGAAGTCCAACAGGCCTTCTCACAGGTCACTGTCGTCTGAATCATCATATGCAGAGACTCGGACTATCGGAAGTCAGCGTGTGTCGCCTCTGTTTGGCAAAACAGCAGAGCACATACTTTGTGCCTGACCCACTGGGGACCGAATCCAAGCCGTACTCTTACCATCTGACCTGAAAGATCACTCACCATACAAACTAATCAGCTTCGTTAAGAATCTGGGTTTATTTGGTCAAGTGTGAATAGGTGTGAGCCATAATAAACCCTTGCAGGTTGCGGTGGAGGGTAGAATCGACTCACTTTTGACGTAACCTAACTTAACCTAACCTAATTTTTTACAAATAACAAAAATTCTATAACCCCTGGATTTCAATTTTATGATTTTTCACATCAGTTTCATGAATTGGATGACACAGTTGAAATATTAAAAAAACATGGAAACAAACTACACAGAGTTCATTAATTTGCTTGTCGCTAGTTTAAGCTACCCAGACCTAGTACGAATAGCAATAAACACAATATACAAGGAATTTATGATCTTATAGTCATAATTTGACATAAGCCCAACTATTCTTTTTGCGACATACAAAAAAGGCTACTAGGATTTTTCATTTCTCTTAACCACCCAAGTACGTTTGTGAAATTACAATAAAGACATTAAACACCCTGCACAGTTGCAGAGTTTGCATACAAATGAATGAGATGTATGGCAAGCTCTTCCTCATGAGATTACTCATCCAATTTTCTTTAAACTATCACTTTTTACTCAACTTTTTTAGAAAAAAAATCTAGTAAAAGGATGGAAGTGCATCTAAAGAGAAATAATTCATAACTACATCTTTTATACAACAAAATTGTCTTCTATACCAAAGTATTATTTGTTAAAACAGTCTGTGTAATTGATGATTTATTTATTTTGTGGAAATTCATGATCACTTTAATGAAATGAATTGAAAACACTTCTTGTCTAATTACCACTAGTTATTTTATTTTTATGACCGGTTCCAGGTTTTATCCCATTATCAAGTATAAAACTAATTAATACATTTGAAATCTGAAAACGAGGTTATATAGGTTATATTTTCAGAAAATATTCAAAATTACTTCTCTAATTACAAAATAACAGCTTTCATAAGTAACAATAATTTAGGCAGAATTCTGTTCAATGCAAAACCCAAACGAGATGAAATTATAAAAATCAAGTATATATAGAATAGAGTGTGGTGAATGATCTGCAGTATATACAGGCCAAACCAGTAGAAATTCTGACATAAGGCTCCGTGAACACGTCTGGATAAAAAATCTACAATGTACGAACATCTACAAGAATCTACGAAATATATACCCCAAAACGAGCAACTCGATTTATGTAAGTCTCCACTCTTGCATTTTCAAGTTTGACAACCCCGGTAGTTTCTATAATCTCCAGCGTTGAATATTATAGTTGGCACCTTTGTTCATTCAACTACCTTCCCTTCCAGCTTACATTATGAACTCTCTATAGAACCTTGTTTTCAAATTTCAAATGTATTAGTTTTGTTACTTGATATTGGGATTAAACCCGAAACCGGTCGTAACAATAAAATAACTGGTGGAAATTAGACAAAAAATGTTTTCATTCATTTCATGAAAATGTTAGAACAGTGCTAGAGATAATCAAGATGCTATCTATGATGAAATTTATCTGTTTTATCTTCTCTGGAGTAAAATTTGTGATCAATAACTGCTTTATGAATATAAGGTTACATTAGAAATCACTTTCCACTTTTCAAAATTAATGCAAAACTTATCATTCACAAGAGAGCTACACATTTTAATTGCCTTGATGAAATGAAAGTTGACATTGAAAAATATTTAATGCAAAATTGATTTTGATTACAAGGATGTTTCAAAGAAAACACTGATTTCTGTTAATATTGAGAAACTCCAGAATTATCGATATATGTAACTCTTTAATATTTCAACAATAAACAAAAATGGCAGTTTATAGTGGACATAGCAATAAATCTTACTTTGTAGGTCATCGTAATCGTAGTCAGATGATGGTCCATTCAGAAGACCTGTAGAGCTTGGTTTTCTCCTTCGACTTTTTTCCTCTTCTAATTCTAGTTTTAAATGGCTAATTTGGTCCTGTAACTCTGTTTTCTCTTTTGCAAATTTGGCCAACCGAACATCTAAAATATTTTTCAGTAACTACCATTATATCATTCAAAATAATAAAATTTGTTCACCTAAACTACCGTCTCCTGCACTTTCCAACAACTGGGCATTCTCTGCACTGACAAGAGCTTTTTTCGGAGGATGTATGGTACCATCCTCATCAGGTGGTACTTCTTCACCTACTATTACTAAACCTTTTTCAGAGATGAGTCGATCCCTTTCTTCCAGTTCATATTTCGTCACAGCCAGATCATCTTTCAATTTGACACATAGCCTCTTCAACTGATCATGTTCCCTGCATTTATCTCTGTGTTCCCTCTTCAATTGTGAGTACTCCTCTTCCAACTCTTCTAATCTGATAACAAAAAATCAATTCATATTTATTCTTGTTTTTGTTATGACCCCAGTACACCAGTAACTAAAAATAAATCATTTTTACACACCTATCTTTCAATAATTCCAATTGGTAAGTCTGTGCTGTTTTATCATTGTCCATCTGAGCATTGGCAATCATGGCTTTTCGAAACTTATCTTCAACTTCCTTGAGTTCATGCTGTAATTTCAGATGGTTATTATTATTTCATGTATCCGATATATTATGATTGATGTGATTGAAATACATAATAAACTAAACTCAACCTGTTTCAATAACTGACCGATTTGATAGGAAGTAGCTTGAATAGTACATCTGGAACATTATCAAAAATGCTGTTGTGTAATTTAAATGAGAATAATGTCAAGTTCAAGTTGCATTCTTTATCAGTGCTCAATATTGCCGAACACATCAAAAATATCTTGATCTTCACCAACTACAGAAACGTTTTGTTAATATCATCGCATTAAAGAAGCACTTGAATATTTACTCTGCTTGGGAATGTTGTGGATCATTTTACTGTTCTTATAAATAAAAATATTAATTATTTACTGAAAATCAATCTGAATGGTCTCATTCAGGCTAATTTAGATTTTTATTGAAAGTTATATATTATAAAAGTAAATCATCTCTCTCCCAAGTATCCAACAAAATTTTCGGGTTTTTATGTCAATTTACAACTGAGCAAGAGCAATTGAAAATGAGATCGCCCGCGATTCATTTTGACGTCACACCAAGCAACGAGATTCGAGCGGTGGCAACCGGGCCTGTAGTTGGAGATTATGAATCGCTGCCATCATCGCGTCGCCAGCACTCCCTTGAAGCCGAGAGTCGATTGACGTGACGTCAAGCTCAACCACACATTCAACTATTAATTTGAGGGGGAAGATAAAGAGTGAAAATTCAGATTTTTTGCAGATGTACTATTTGAAACATAAACTTTCAAATAATAAAATTAAAAAACACTACCATTTTATGGCATGGTAAAACTGTTGACGATTTGAATAATAAGATATTCAGAGGCATAAATGTAATCAAATCTTCATGCGACTCGAATTCTCCTTTCATTTAATATAAGAAGAACATATATAGTAACTTTCAAATGTACTCTAGAAGATATGCCTCTAGAATATGAGGTGACTGAAAATAAAGATTGCACAACATTTTTGGGCCTTTTTATTGACAGCGAATTGAAGTTTGAAGCACACGTCAACCAACTGAAAAATAAAATTTCCCCAGAGAAATGCAATGAGAATTATTTCAAGAGAGCTTGGTAGTGTCTCAGCTTTGAACACATATTATGCATTAATTGAATCTCAACTGAGATATGCCAAACCTTTCTGGGGGGTATGTAACTCCAGTCTGCTAGATTCAGTACTTAAACTGCAAAAGAGAGCCATTAGATATGTGTTCAAACTAGGACCACCCAATTTTTGTAGGCAGTTATTTGCAGAGAAAAAGATATTGACAGTTGTGGCTCTCTTCGTTATGGAAACGGTGTTCCTCATACACAAACATAGTTCAAAATTTGAAAATATTTCTTCGTGTCATAATACTCGCCAAAAATCTAAAAATAACTTAAAATTACCCTTTTCTTCCTCATCCTTGGTAAAGGACTCAATTTTCTATAACGGCGTTAAAATGTGTAACCACTTTCTGTCTCATTCTAGAGAGAGCCACGATAGTAGGTATTGAAGGCTTAAGAAAATACACAAAAAAACTTTTCATGAGTAGACCCTATTATAGTTTGCAAGAATTTTACAATGACAACTTTCAATGGAAAATGTGAACTGTCTATTCTTTTGTGATTTTCTTGCTGTTATTGTACAGGATACTTGCTTAGAGCGATAACTTATAAGTTGAATAATTGACAAAATGTCAATTAATTGACATGTGAATTAAATGAAATTGTATTTTGTGCATTTAGAAACTTGCGTTTCTAACAACTTAACCATGCCACACAGTCCCCCAAGTACGGCTCTGAGGAATGCTTGATTCTCTACTGTCCCCTACGACTCTGAAGAATTATTCTCCACAGGCCCCTACGACTCTGAAGAATTATTCTCTACAACCCCCTACGACTGTGAGGAATATATCTTATAGACCAGAGCTTCGGAAAGGAGACACCGAAATATGTTCTGTGGGGTCCAATAAAATCATTGGATTGTATTTATGTATATATACGAAATGTTCAAATATCAATTTCTATAGGTGCACACTCATTTTATTTTTATTTTATATGTCTGTGTGTACTTCTGCCTATATTTTATTTTTGTACTATGTATCTTTTACTTTGTTAATGTGAAGTGCAAGTCCAAAAGGAAGTCAGTTTTGAAAAGAATAGTAAATTTCGTCATAAAAATTGATGATAATATAGGATATTTACTTGACGATAACTGACTGCGGCATAGACCTGGAATTGAGAATAATATAGAAAATATACCAGATAAAAGTGATAGTTTCAGTTAATCGAAAGGACAAGTAATCAATAAGAGACTCTCCATTATTGAATACAATTGATGTCAATAAAAGTGAATTGCTTGATAACTGCCAAAAACTCAAGAATTACTAACTAAATTCCGTGAATGTGTTGCATTAAATATACACGAGTTAGATTGCACAATACTAAAGATACTAACACACCTCTCAAAATGAAACCTATCATGCTAACTTTACTAATCGGACAACTTTGTGCGGTATTGTTCACGATACAAATGTTCCAATCCCACATATTGAAGATTGTTTTGAATTACTTACTGGAAGTAAATTGTTTTGAACATTAGATCTCATATCGAGCTATTTACAAACACCTCTTGTTGAAGAATCCAAATATAAAACTGCATTCATTCATTCAGGTGGTTTTAAAGAATTTAAAAGAATGTCAATGCACCTTTTGAATTTTCAAAACTCATGACTTTGGCATTAGTTCCCCTGAGAAACACAATCGCAGTATCATATTTGGACAATATTTTGATCAGAGCGAGCAGTGAGTTGGTTGGATATTCTTGAAAAACTTCGTGAATTGTTTTCTGCAACATCTAAGGCAGAACTAACTTTGAAATTGTCTAAAAGTGAATACGAAAAGAAGTTTTTAAAATTTTTGGGTTTTTCTTTTAATTTTTGGGATTTCAATCAATAGAAGGAAATTCATCATTCACAAACTGCTTTTGATAGAATGAAAAATTGATTGTAGGAAGCCCGTATTCAATTATACAATCTAAAAGCTGAAACCAAGTTACACAAGTTTTACTGTTGCAAGCATGACTGTAAAAAATCTGAAGCCGTCCGTGACCGATACGTCAGCTGACTAATCGTACAAACACATGACCTCACCTCGAAAGAATGCAGTCAAGAACCGCCGGTAAAATTCTAGTCCAGTACCGAACCGTCTACAGAATTCTCGAAAGGACCTTCACCTATATAAGCCCGTCTTCCAGACCCAAGAGGGCAGTTTAGAAAGTGAATCGAGCGGCTAAAGAAGAAATTCAAATAGTGGAAATAAATTAAGCGTTAGTTAAATAAAATTTGTTTAAGACAGTTAATTCATTAATTAGTGACAAAAATCTCCAGATGATAAAATGCACCTTGCATTATTGCATACCTACGAAAACCTGCGATGCAGAAGGAAATGCTATTACTGGCTATTGTATGGTATGTGAAACAGCTATGACCATAGCTAGGCGATATTCAACGTTATCTGAGTATTCATTCGAAATTGAACATAGAAGTAGAAACAAAATTTCTCATGTAGATAGTTTGAGTCGTGCTAAAAAAGAAAATGCATCATATGATGGAATGATTGAGGAAGTTAATGCAAAGAGAATCAATATGTTCATAATATTTCCAGGAAAAGAAAGAATTTTGATGATCCAGAAAAGCAACAAAAGTAAATAATACGAGTAAGGATACAATATAGTCATAGAAAGACTATAAGAAAGTTATAGTAAACAATGAAAAGAAACATTTGTATGTTATCTCCAATCCAATGAGGAAGGCAGGCAACAGTTGCAAAATATCACAATTGAATGAGAACTGGTCAGCGGATCTACTGTATCAGCCACATTACAAAAATTTTGGTTCATAGGGATGACGGGAAATGTGAAGAAACACATACAAGACTGTTACACTGACCGAAAATTCCAGGCAGACCAATGATAAAGTTGCATATAGATCACCTTGGTCCTTTTCCTGAGGGTACTACAGAGGAGATTTCAAGTGAAACTTTATAAACAGAGAAGTAAACAGGCAGCAAAAATAATCAAACGATCGAGGGGCATCCAAAGTCATTATTATTAACAGGGGACATGCTTTCATGAGCAGCGAGTTCGCTGAGTTTTTTAAACAGTATTATAACTAATACAAGCTCATTGCTGCACAGTATCTTCAAGCAAATGGTATGGCCGGGAGTAAACTAAATGAAATCAATTGTAATCAACTAATTTTGAGGACATGAAATGGGACCAAATATTGAATGCAGTGGAAAAAAAAATAATGCTACGTTTAAACTGGTAGAGAAAGAAAGTACACCGAATTATTTCGAAAAAAAAAATCAAAAGTCCACAAAAATATAAGGTGTATTTTGATAAGAAGCGCTTCAAGGGAGTTACATTTAATTTGCGGTAATTGTAATATTACAAGGTATTCAAGTACCACTTTATCGTGAGATTTTCACTGGAAAGTGTACAAAACCGCAACACGTCTTTCGCTACCCAATAGCTTCCTCAAGCAATTTGATACTCACTAAATTCTACTTAATTTGTGCTTCATGTAAAAATTTGAGTCATGTGATCTTCTATTCTACTGTCAGAAAGTAATTTTCAGAAATAAATGAGTTTTATCAAACAAATCGGAACGGTTACAAAGTAGATGTTATCGACATTAAAAAAAACTGCAAAAACAGGCCATTTACCACTCCATACTTTGGTGAATTAAAAAAAAAACCCCAATAACATTGCTCGTTTTTTGAAAAGGAAAGACTTGGGCTAACAAATAATAATTTGAGTAAATTTGTCAAAAAAATAAAGACAAAACTTCAGTGTCGGACAGATCAGGAGTATATAGGTTGACATGTGAGTCTTGCCAAACTTTATATTGGCCAAACAGGGAGAACCTTTTTCCAGAGAATAAAGGAACAGAGGAGTAGTTTTTTGAATGTGAACACCAACACCACATTTGCAAACCATCTTTTGACAGAGTTCAACTACGGCTATGAAGTATTAGATTTGGAAGATGGCGATTTGAAACTGAATCTTTTGGAATGCTTAGAAATTGATAGATTTATTAATTCTGAAAATTTGTTGAATGACTTAAGAGAATTGAATTCTTCCTCTTTTCTGAATCTGTTTTCTAATGTGAAAATTAGTAATTAGTTTATCATGTGACCATTTAATGAGTTGGTAAAAAATCTGTTTTGTGATGTTTAAACTTTTAATCAGTTTTTATTTATACTCAGGTCATTGAGTAGGTATTATATAGGTAGGTAATGTATAGTATTGTTGATGAGTTGGTTATAGTTCCTTTTATGATGTTTAAAGTTCTTTAATCAGTTTTTACCTATCTCAGGAAAAATTAATAGCCCTACAAGTTGGGAAAACTCATTAAACAAGACAGTTCGAGTTTAATTACACATGTAACATTAATGAAAATATATTGTAAACGTGAAGAAGATAATTAATTATAAGATGAAGAAATATAATTTTCAAAAAATATAATGAATTCATGCAGAACTTATTGGGTTGAACATAAAAGTTTCCCCTTTCTATACTTTCATAAAGTTCTCTTTAATAATTTTAATTTTTTTCAGGTTGTGGAAGGTGAGATTTCCAGAAAAATCATTAAAATACTGATAAGTTCGAGAGGAGGTTGTTTTTTTTTTGAAATATATTTCTGATATACTATGACAAAAGAAAGTTGTTTTTGAGTTTAACTTGGAAAATCTGTTAACACTTTGGTAATGAAATGAAAAATGGGTAATTAAAACGGTGATATCTTATAGACCTTATGCACAAGGTCATACGATTCAAGGTCATGCTGCAAATTATGCTTTGAGACGGTTGGTGAGGGGAGATATATGTAAACACCCTGTAGTGAAGTGAATTACAACTCACCCTCAACTCATTTTTGTTTAGTCACTATGATAAAATATTCACAATCAAGAAAGAACCGCACTACTGTTTCGTAAACATAGGTACAAATCTATCCTCATGTAATTATATTGGAATTATAAATCTCAAAATGGGAGTGGAAACGTTTGCATCGTAACCCTTTGTTTGTAGAAACACAATAACTTCCCAATCCTATATTCGTCAAAATGTCCATGAGATTTTCAAATAGTTTGTTCACAAAGTGGAACACATAACTTATTTTAACCAAACTGCAGAGATTAAAATCCATGAAAAGTAGAAAATAATATCAATATGAATTTTTCAGTTACAATTATTCTTTACAGATGGTTCATGAAATTGAAAAGCTGTAAGAGGTATCAGGTAGAAAATTTTTAGAAACAACGGAAAGCAAATACTCGTAATTCCGCAACCCTACAAATAATCGCAAAATTTACAGAAATATATATCTCAGAAAATTCCTCTCCAAAGATGGTATCGATATTATCACACAAATAAACTCTGAATTCAACCACAAAATTTGTAAAACAATTTGTGAACACATTCAAAATCTTTATTAACCCCGCAACACTGAGCATTAGCGTGACCGGATCTCATAGATCCGGTCACGGTCATTATTTTGTTTTTCTGGACCCCACAAAACGATTACTCTTTCCAGATATTGAGATAGCCGAAATTTGAGCTCGATTAAACGACGTTAACCCGTGCCGTTCGTCGCACAAAGTTTGAAAAAATCCAAATTTTTGGCCAAAAAGCTGACATATGGAGCCATAAATCCCGAACGGTAAATAATAAAAACACGCTTAATATCTCAAAAGAAAGCTAATGTTGTTCTTCAAAATTTATATTCCATACATAATTGTTGTTATTTCAAGTCAAACTGAGTTACAACCTTTAACCCCAAAACATGACCGGGTACCACTAGGAGCATACTTCGTATATTGTGTTATTAAGTGGTAAATTTTGCTTTTTTTGGTACATTTTTGAGATTAAAGTAGAAATATAATAATACAACGAGTAATACTGATAAGTCTAATGACATTTATTATTTTGAAATATAAAAATCAGGTATATAATAGATACAAAACAGACACAGAATTTTACATTCTAGAGCTTTTGTTAAAAAAAAATTTGGCACGTCAGGATATAATGCTCGGCATTTGCTTACAACTTGCAGGACATATTCATTTTGGTCTTCATCTTTTGTAAGAAGGTTGTTATAGTCGGTTATTAGTTTAACACCACGTTCAGATATATCATTGACTACTTTTAATGTTTTGATAATTTTCAATCCTTCTTGGAAGTCATTATTTGTATTAGAAAATCTGTTTTAAATATTAAACCGATCAAATAATGTAAACGTTTCTTTGGTAAGTAAATTTACCAATTCTCCATCAACTACCTCTTTTAATTTTTCTTTCCTAACTTTTGGATTTACAACCCTAGCGTGCTATAATGGTTCATCTGTGCTACTGGGCAAATTATTATCCATCAACAACTCGTTATCGTCTGTAATGATGGGATCAACTCTGCATTCATATACCACAAATGGTTCGAAAATTTGGTCAGGTATATTTCTGTAATGTCGTTGTTACATTCTTTACCTCATCCAGACATTTTTAAGAGATTCCTCACTGCGTGGCCCAAGATAGCCAAAGCAAAATGCGACACAGATATTAGTGACAATCTTATACAAAAGCAGCTAACTCCAGAAGTAATTGTCAATGTTACTGCTGAATTCGAGACCAAATTAACTGAGAGCCACCCCAGAGATGACTACAAGGAGCTATTGCAGTTGGTTCTCATATTTGTTGGATCACTAGACGGCAATGTTGTGGGTTTTAGAACTACAGGAGCCATTCATCACGCTAAGTGGATGGCAAAGGCTATTTACTGCTTAATAATGTTCATTTTTCGTCATCAATTTAAGATGTACATCATTTGACCGATTTAATATAAAAACAGATTTCCTAAGACAACACCCAACACCTGGCTTCAAAATAATGACTTCCAAAATGGATTGAAAATTGTCAAAACATTAAAAGTAGTTAATGATATATCTAAGCGTGGTGTTAAACTAATTACAGAATTTAACAACCTTCTTACAAAAGATGAAGACCAAAAGCAATATGTTCTGCAAATTGTAAGCAAATGCCAAGCATTATATCTTGACGTTCCAAAATCTACTTTAACTCTAGAATAAGACAAAATAGTTGAGACTTTCGCGGCGGAGGATTTTAGTATCACTATTTTTTGAGTTCGAATGCCGGGGATTTTTGGAAATTCTTCCTGACGTTGCGCTGGCGCAAGTGGCCACCTCCTTCAGCGGTTTATACATCCTGGATTAATATCCGATCATTGAATATAACGGTTTCGTAACGCTTATTTATGCTGTGTGAGTTACTTTGGAGTGCTAATACCTATACCTGGATTAGGTAATTTGTCGGTACAACACAGCCGACCGAAACTGCAAACTGGGTTAAACGGACAAGTCGGCTGTGGCAGAACATGCACTCAGTGAAGGAAACCACAGGATTCTGTTGAAAACACAGAACTCAATGCCCTCAACCTGGTATACCATAGCCGACTGGTACGGAAGAAAAATGTAAAATCATTTGCCTATGGACATAAAATCTGCCAATATAAATGACTTCCAATTCAGGAAGTTAGTCAAACAATTTCTATCTGATAAGACCCTATTATACGTTGGATGAATATTTTAACGATAGCTTTCAACTGACTTACTCATATTTTTTATCTTTATTAATTAAGGAGCGACTAAGTTGTTACTTTTTATGTCTACTCTATTATGAACTTGACTTTCACTCTTTTATATGTACATATCTTTTATATCCTCCATTTTAACATAGTTTGTACCCATGCACCATTTTTATTTTCATTTGGTATGTATTGCATTTTTTTAAGTAATTACTACCCAAGCGATGTCTTCTGATAATAGAGCATATTATAATTTTTTTATACCGAAGTTTGCGCTGGTCAGGCCCTATCCCCCGAAGCCCCGATACATTCGGGAGGGCGCGCCAGCATTATCAACCAATGACCACTCCCCACACCGTGGGGTAATTGATCGTTGGGTCCGAGAATCATATGCCCTGAGCAAGCGCAGTGAGCCAAGAATGACAGCCTTCTGCATCTATCCGGCTAAGATTTCTGCCTCAGTACGGCAGGCCGGTATGATTTCAAGATTCGAGAGTGGAGAGGGTATCATTCCACCAAGGACTCCAATAATAAGAACAACCATCTTGACGTCGGCTTTTCGGACGATATTCGTCTCGCCAGGAGCTGAAAACTCAACGACAAATATCGTCTTGGTCTAGTGGTCGAGAAGGACTACATCAGGCTTATTAGCTTGTATGAGCCTAGGGTGGGGAACAAATATTCCAATAAATTCGGCATTTCTCGTTCTCCATGTTATTAATATAGATCCACAAACACACGGATAATTTCAACAGAAAAAAAGAAGCGGTGTACCTCAATCGAATATGGAATCCCATTCTAAAAAGTTCAAGGATAGCAAACAACATGACATGGTAGAAAACAAGTCAATGAATGTTACCGACAAATTACCTAAACCAGGTACAGGTATTAGCACTCCAAACTACCTGACACAGTATAAATACGCGTTACGAAATCTTAATATTCAGTCATCGGATATTAATCCAGGATGTATGAACCTCTGAAGACGCTAGCCACGAAAAGCGAATTAGTTATAGGTTCAGCCCATGATATCGAAATTCCTTATTGAAACAAATACAAAAATCCTCATAGAAAACACGAAAAAGGTAATATAACATTTACAATATGCTAAAAATAAATGGAGATGCACTAGAAAATCATATGCTTTTTTAGAGAATTAAAATGACTTCAAAAAATTGAGAACATTGGTGTAATTTAGTAAATGGTGTTTAGATGCAATTAAAACCTCGTCTGTTACTCTCACTTATCTAAAATTTTCAAGAAACATACTTCATCAGCAGTATTTTGAATGAAGGAATGTATCACGTCGCTATTGTCGAAATACTCCTCTTCATTGGAGACGTTCTCAGTACTCGCATCACTAAAACCATCACTCTTTTTTATAAAATCTGACGACTCGGTGTCTGTCACTCCTTCAACTATCACAAAATTATTATTTTCTTCTTTTATTTCACCAGTTTCTTCAACAATACTACCTACTGCGCACTCCGTCATATTTGTTGGGTAAAAAACCACAACTTGAACGTGATATCTGGGATACAAATACGTTATTTGTTTATTGATAACATACTTTTCGCAACGGAAAGGAAATAGAAAACATTACTTATTTGTTGGATTCTAAACATCACACGACTTTGCCACGACTGATAGTAAAAATGCTGATTGTCGATAAAAACAAATAAAAGCTATATTTTCAAACCTATTGAATGCTACTGATAAGGTGATATACTATATCAAGACAAATCGGATTGTTGTATTCAGTGGCGTACGTGACAGATAGAACTGAACAAACTGGCGGTTAAATGAACATGGTTATGTAAAACTAAAAATCTGTTGTACTAAAATCTGTTGAAATGGAGTAAGTAATTTCGTCATATTATATTTGGATAAGAAAAAAATCGAACGATTAGTTTTGTTTTCTGGCTGGAATTGATCATTATTATATTTTAAGTTTTTATTTAGGCTTCCGTACTTCTGAACGTATGTTCAATGATTAGCAAGTTCACCAACTAACTAATAACAGAAGAATGTGAAGATATCAGTTTAAAAGAAGAAGTGAAGAAATACTTTTCTTCGAAACAGAATTCAACCTCTTTCATCCTCGTATAGGTAAACATAGGCATACCCCCTTTTGAAAACGCCATCTGTAAGATGGACAGAATACACAAACTTTGCTTATCCAAGATAAACAAATGTCTGTTGCAAAGTCAAACTTTGACATCGACATCAGAATAAGAAGTCGTTTTCTGACCTACGGAAACTAAAAACTTCAAAGCCAAGTTTCATTCAGCGGTCAATGTCAAAGCCTAAAGCGGCCTACACACATGGGAACCTGGTTCGGCGAACCAAGTTCATGGTTCGTCACCCCCTACACACAGTGGAGGGGAATATGAACAACGGTTCGCCATTTCACCAGTTTCATTCCAGCAGTTGGGATGAGTTCTTCGAAGATTGCAGTTGCTATTGTTGTATTGGATGAGTTTGAAGGTTTTACAAGAAAGAAGAAGAAAAGATCGCAATGGATCAAGCAGTGGCTTCGTGCGAGAGGGAAGTGGTCTCACCTCAATCTCTTATATCACCTTAGGGAGAACAATGCGAAAGAATTCAATTATCCGCCGCGCCGGATTTCATTGACAACTTCACTTTTCCTAAATTCCCTGCGGAAACTCTGCTTTACTGACTAAATTCCTACTGCAGACTTAGGTCTGCAGTGGGAATCGTGTCGCGAGTCAACATTAGGAGATTGTTCAACGCTTAGTCTCGCTTATTCCTGTCCCTGTACTCATCGCCTTTTACTTTCCATATATGCTTCTATGAAGTCCGTCAAAAACGAAGGATTCATGAATTGTGCACTATCACCGCAATCAGCTATTGTATAGCAATGGAAACAACAGTGAAGCTCTCCTATTGCAAGCGCTCAAGCATTTGTACTAAGTACTGACAAAAATCAAAATGGCGAACAACGGCTCCCCTCCTCCAAACACAGATGAACTTGGTATGCTCTGTGTGGCGAACCGAACAAATGTTTTCCAACCCGATGGACGACCAAGTTCGTGAGAAATTGTGGCGATCTTGGTTCGTTAAACACCACACACAGGGGAACAAATGACGAACATGGTTCGTGCGAACCAAGTTCCGCGAACCAGGTTCCCATGTGTTTGATGTATTCAGGCTTGTCCTTTAACAAAATTGAACCCAACAAAGAACTTGTGGTTCAGAATGGTAAAAAGAAGAATTAAAGAAGAATAGCTGAAAATAACAATTATATTAAGCAAACAAACCTGAAATGGAATTGCATTGAAATAAAATACAAGTAAAAAGTAGAACAATTAAACAAAAAATTTAAAGAAAACATATACCAAGCCAAGTTACTTCACGACGTTTCGATTGTTAGTATCCACAATCGTCTTCGGGTGATAAAGATTGTGGATATTACTAATTGAAACGTGAAGTAACTTGGCTTGGAATCCCTTAATTTTTTATTTGTATTATTTTATTTTTTGTTAAATTGTTCTATTTTCACTTGTATTTTATTTCACTGTTTTTTGCTTAACGATGGATTAGATATGAACAATTATACAGTCTTGTCGTTATAATCTATATGCACTTTCGAATCACAATGAGTCTACCTACAGCGGACATTATACAGCACTCTGCAGACATCCTTATACTGGCACGTGGCACGAATACAATGATTCACACGTGTCGCCAATTTTACCAAAATCGCTTGTGAGTGGAGATGCATATATCCTCTTTTATGAAAAAGAGGAAACGAGTTCGTACCTTTGAGCGTTTTCAAAAGTTATTTTTTTTTCTGTTATAATAAATTATATTATGACATTTCAAAGACATTTTCCACGAAAAACGTAGAAATGAACTTATTGTTTAGTTATTTTATCACTAGGGCAATATTCTATGTTCAAATAAAAAAAAAAACTATTGAATCTCAAGAAAAACTCCATTCGTGGTATCTAGAGTCTAGAGTACAATTGTCCCTGTTTTACTTTGGTAACACAATACAATAAAAAATGATGATAGTTATTTATATATTATATCATTTATTGTCGAATATACGAATGATTACTGAAATCACACACTTTAATTTGATATTTCCGCTTGAACGTTTACAAAACCGCGACACGTATTTCGCTATACGATGCATCTTCGGGCGTCACAATACTCACAGTTTTGTTGACTTTCAAGTGTAAATCTCATTCTAAAGTTAAAGTGTGTTTTTTAATACGTTATAATGGATTTTCATCAAGTATCGGTTAGATCTATCATATTTTTGAAATCACTTACTTTTTTCTTGGAAGACGAAACTGTCGTAACAAGCAATACGTTCGATTTCGGTTTTTCGTCTAAACAATCACTAATCGAAGGAGCTCGAATCAGGTCGCCAAGGGCGCCGAATTTGGTTCCCATCACCAGACTCTGAACAACGACCATTTTCCTGATAACAGTCGCACTCGATAGGCAACAGGTCACATCGACTACAACCATGTGTGCGAGGATAAATTATTACTTGAACAAATATTTAGGAAATAATTGTTTGATCATTCAGTACATGTATGTACTGGTTACTGCGGCGCAACTCTACACGTAACTACAGGAAACGTGGGAGTCTGCGTTCGTTTTATCTCAACTTCGAACGGTATGAGACTGGCAAAGAAACTAAAACCCCTTTCAATTTAAATAAAAAACGATTTCAAATATAAATTGTCCTTCTCACAATAAAATATTTTTGAACAAAATTAGTTTACACGATAGTTCAATTATCTTCGCATCATACATAATATATCATTGGAAAATTTATATTAATAACCCCAATCCGACGCCTATTAATACTGTGTATTTTCAACGGAATATGATAAACCACGTCGGCCGCCTCTTTTAAAGTTCTTTGTCGCAAGTCACTATTTTAATGGCTCCTTAGCAGCGTCCTCAAGGGGCATATCGGGTAGAAATATCTCAGTGACTTTGTGGATGAATTGCAGTGCCAGTTGCTTGAGACGACTGACTCTGGTGTCTTTGATGTACCGGCATGTTTGCATTATTGAAATTCTTTCACTCTTTTAGACAATATCGAATGGACTATAGTCTGGAAGAGTTCCACCATCTTTGAGCTGTTTGTTAGCGAAGGTCAATTGTTGCTGGTCTGGGAGGTTATCTTCTTTGTCGTGCATCTTAGCTTTTACTTTTTTGACGGTGTCAGAGGGAGATGGTCTTAACTGTGAATGTTATTACGAAAACAGATACAGAGATTTGCAGTTTGGGAGGACTTTATTCCCAGAAGTTCTTGTAGCATGATTATGAAAATTACCCTTTGACAATTGTTTTGTTTGCTCCACCCCAACCAAGTATTCCATATTGCAGCAAAGATTCTACTAGTGCATAATAGAAATAGAAAGTATTTTTCGTAATTTATAAGTTACGAAGTTTATTTTTTAACTTTTCGATGTGTATATCCCATCTCAATACAGAATCTATAAAAATACCTAGATACTTTACTGACACTACTAGTTTGACATCTTGGTTATTAATTTTGATTGACTCATATGGGGGTAAGTACTTCTCATGATGTACAAACAAATTACATTTGTTTTACTGAGATTTACTGTAAGCAAGTTCTCTTTAAACCACTCTATTATCTGTTTCAGGTCTCTTTCTGCCGCATCTTTCACATTCAACCAGTTTTTGTCCTCATATATGATGACAGTATCATCAGCGAACGATATTATAGAACCACAAGTATTTAGGCTAAGGAGCTCGTTTATGTAAATATTAAAAAGTATCGGTCCAAGTTCGGTGCCCTGTGGGACACCGCAAATTATTCTTTTTTAATCACTAACTACATCGCTAATTTTTACTATCTGTTTTCTGTTACTCAAGTAATCTCTGAAAAGATAAAGGGCAACTCCTCTTGTGCCTATTTTTTCCAACTTTTCCAACAAAAGTTCATGACTCAAAGTGTCAAAGGCCTTTGATAGATCCACAAAAACTCCAAGACATGCTTTTTTCTTATCTACATTTTCATATATCCTACTTATAACATCAGCTATGGCATCCTTGGTTAATATATTTTTTCTGAATCCATACTGTTTGGGAGAAATAATTCTTTATTTATTTACATAGTTTATTAACCGAATTTTTATTATTTTTTCCAATAATTTTGCTATATATATCGGTATAACCTTGTTTACTAATATATAGTGATTAGGTGGCATTTGGTTTCGTTAGTTTCCTTAGAGTGAGTGTTCAGGTAAGACAATAATATATTTCGAATCAACTTTTATACTGATAATGAATTAATCTGATGAAAATTAGTACAGTTGACTAGAACCATCAGATTCATTAAGCAATTATTTGAATTTTTTGCAATTAAAAATGGATTCAGTCATTGATAGTAGAAATGTGTTCACGTTAGAACCAATAGGCCTTGAATGAATTCGTTAAATATAAGAAAAACTGTTGGAGGTGGTAAAATGTAGATATACCTACTCAACGCGGTATTTGACAGCAATGATGTTTGCGAACAAGTGACGTAATGCACTTTAATTGATTTTCGTTGTCACGTGACTTGAAAACGATTTCATTAAATTTTGATTGAATGAAAATTAAATTCCTTAAAAATAAAGAAAAAATTGTTTCTTGGGTTTTCTGTCAGGGAAAATACCGTTTCATGACAAAATTGATTTTTTATGAAGGATTGAATTCGCAATGTGAAGACTAATGAAACTTTCTTCTTGACATTATTTTTTAAAACAATTAATATCCCTATAACTTCAAGTTTAGACAGAACGACTTCACCTTCCGCTGTGCTACAAAATCCCTTGAAGATTTTTTAACATTCACTGCGATTTTTTTTTTGTTTTTG